TTATAAATAAATAGTTTTTAGAATTTTTTTTAAAAAAAATTTATTTATTCATTTATCAGTTTATTAATTGAAAATGTCCTAAATTAATCTTTAAATAAAAACGTTAATTTAGCCAACCTAACTATCATGATAATTCAAAATTTTATTATAGATAAGTACCCATGTTACATAGTAATTTTTGTTTGTTATGATATGAAGTATATAGAACTGAATTGCCAAGAATTTTTATAAGATTGGTCATTCAGGATGCTTCACAGCTGAAATGTATCAAATTTCACATGACTCAAATTTGTGTACTTTTTTTGAGTCACGTATCAAATGTCATGATGTGACTGCGGAGTTATCATATGCCCTTCACTTCTGAAAATTATCCTAGTCAATTTAAATTATCCCATTTATATAAAAAATTTTTTGTAAGGAATAATTTTTCAAAATTATTTAAGCGGGCAAATTTGCCCGCTAAAGTGTATGGTTTAAGGAATAGATTACTGGCAAATCAAAAAGTAATACTGGGAAACATAATACTTTTACTTCAGGAAGTCATCACATAGAAAGTGAAAAATTCACTAATGATGAAGACTGATTATAACGATGAACCTTCATTAAAAAAAATTGAAATTTGATGAAAGTGATATTGATGAGATGCATAAAGACGTTAATGATCAAGAAGTATACCTAGAAATAACAAAGAATAGTTCAAACAATTTATTTCTTGTATTGGCTAAAGATAATAATATATCAGGTGAAGGTAATAATGTACTGAGTGAAGATAATGCACCTGATGTATCTTATTCATCCTACCATCCTGAATCAAGTAAAACAGATGATAGTATTGAATCTGAACAAAAAGAAAAAACTAAATTTCAATATGAATGGTTTGTTGAACCTGATATAAAAGAGTCAAAATTGAATGAAAATGGAAATAACGTAATATTTAAACTCTTAATTTCAATTATATGTTAAAATTTCTGATATTTAATTTTCTTGCATTTACATAGTAGACCATTAATATAATTGATATTTTGAATTTGCTATTGGAGTATCATAATACTGTATATCTATTAAAATAGCATCGGAGCAAAAAATAAAAAATGCTGTAAGTATTTTAAATCTTTAATATTTTTTTTATTTACAATTTTTTTGTAATAATTATTATAGTTCTCTTAATCATATATTTCTATTGGATGAGAATTTATCTACTAGAATTTTAGAAATAATTAGTTCTACATTATTGAAAGTAATTTTTAAAAATATCAGAAGTGAATATACTCCATATCATCTTTCAAACAAGGACATTATACAATGTCATGAGATTTCCAAAGTAAGATTTTCATAAATGATTTTAATATGATAATCTTTTTTAACTAATATTACATTAATTCAAATAAATTGTAAATAAAAACTTTCAAAGTTATAAGTCATTACTTAGGAAATGGCAAAAAAAGTTGATAAAAATGATAATGATTTAGTCTTAAAAGTTTTTGAATTGATGTAAATTTATAAAATCTGAATATATTATATTACGCAAGTTTATTAATTTTTATTTTTTGTAGTTTCAAGTATACTATATTGGAACAAAATCATGCTATTTCAATTACAGATACACTGAAAATATTATTATCTCTATATAAAGAAACGAGACTTATATATTTTAAATTTGAACAAGATTGTATTATTTCACTAACACATCTATCGTAATAACTGTACATGCATCAAGACTCAGATGTAATAGCTTTGAACAATATTTTACAATTTCTATAATTGGTATATTACTAAAATCATAACTTCGATCAAGAATATGAAAATTTATATTTAGGTATGAGCACAAAATTTCACTAAATAATGTATCTGAGATTTTTAAACTCACCAATTTGAGATATACTATCTTTAAACAATAAAAAGATTTTGTCTTTTCACATATAACTCTTTTAAATTTTTTTAATTGTCAATAAAAAGGTCCAAATATATTTTTATTATATCAGTTCTGTCAATAACCTTTTATGGAAAACTTCATAAAATTGAAGTACTGCAGTAATATTAAAAGTGATTGACAAATAAAGCAGAATAGAATATTTTATTCTTGATTAAAATACTGAATATATTTTCAAATAACTTTGAAAGAATAAGAGGGTGAGTCATATTTAGTTCTTTATATAAGCATTCAGAAACTTGAAGTAGTTTTATATTTTTAACACAGTTCAAAAAATTAAAAATTCCTTATGTTTTTGAAATCTCATTATGATTAGGCAGAATGTTTATTATCTTTTAATCTTTTAATCTCCTTTTCTGGATCAAGAGGAGTGTCCCATCAAAGTAAGAAAGACTTAGATCTGAATTTTATTTAAATCTATAATTATAAACTCTTTTTGCCTCAAATAACTGTCAATAATTTTTGAAGCTTTTTGTGAATCTACATCAGTGTAAGAACTTATAATATCTGCAAGTTTTCAAATAGAGCCCTCACCATTAAAGAGAACAATATAAGTAGCATTTTCACAAATATCTATTGGGATTTTGTGAAATTTCTAAGCAACATAAATTGAGAAAATATTCTTATAACGACCTCAAGTGAAAAATTAAATAATTTTTTTCTGTATAGCTGGAAGGTCAGAGTAAAGATCTTTAAATATCACTAATGTACTTCTTTTAGCATTAAACTTTTTGGGATCTGAAATTTTATCATGAGATAGTGTAGAAAATGTAATATCTTCATAATAGGACTTTGATTTGTCTTGAACAAGATATTTATAAAAATCTCAAACTATTTTATATTTTGACTCATTTAAATGATATCTGAAAAGAACTATATCATCATATTTAACATTGCATTCTCCTATCTTAAAACACTTTTTCTTTTTAAACATATAATAAAATTTAGACATTGTTAGCAAGTTTAAATTCATATTGGTCTTACCTGAATTGCTAGTTCCTGCTATCACAATATGAAAAGGCTACACTAGTACATCTTTATCTTCCTGATATTTCTTGGAGGGTTTAATCTCATCAATGGCGAATATACAATATAATATTTTTTATAATAAGTAATATTTATTACAATTTTTTATTCTGATAAATTACAGATTCGAAGTTATATTATAGTAGCATCTGGATATCAACTGATAATATCAAGAGCAAGATTTTTATTTTATAAAGTTATAATTGCATTCGTACCTCTTCTTTTCCAATGTATATCGAATATATGCTTCAATATCTGAATTATATAGAATTCTAATAAAATCTATACCTTCTTTTTTACATATTTCCCACTTTTTTTGATTACGTATCCTTTGTAAATCTAAGTTACCTTGATTTTTGTGATATAAACTGTTGCGATAAAAATGCTGAACTTCATTATACTCCCATGCCAATTTTAATTCTTCATTATATCTATCGAGTCACAATTCACCCAAGAATTTTGATGTACATAGTGTAAATTTTTTGTCCAGTAGATTCTCAAAAATATATCAATAACTTCTTTTACAGGTATGTAGACAAAATAGATACTATTTGAATTTTTGCTCTAAAATTTCTAACGGATACTCAAATTGATGTGATCCATTCTCACAAAACCAAAGATATACATTGAAACCATGTATATGACCAGTTTTACCAAGACACTTCCCATCACGCTTTCTGGTATATTGTTGTGCTTTAATCATTTTATTAACAATACAGATAAAATTAACAGACCTGAAACAAGTATTTTTTTTCAATATACTCTGGAGCAGATACTAAAGTTTTTCGAGATTAATTAGTATTAATTCTTCACGTATAAACTCACGTGTTGGTGTGAATTCTCCATTTAAATAATATAAAATTGGTTCATTTTTCATTATCATGATTTAGTGAATTTTATGTAAAGAAGAGTTTCAAATTTTATTTATATTTTTCGTTATCACGATTTTGTAAATTTTATATAAAGAAGAGCTCCAAATTTTATTTATTATATGCCTTTAATTTTTCATACCTCTTTCCTATTTCTAGAGTTGTTAACTGGAGCATAATGTTCTGGCATCAACCCAGGTTATGTATTACTCTGTCACGGAGCGGGTTAAGATTTCTAATTTTTTGTACTAACCCGGAGCAAATTATTTATTATAATCCGGGTTACTATATAATTTTTACTCCGGGTTGCTCCGGGTTACTCCAGGTTGTTCCAGGTTGCTCCAAGTTGCTCCAAGTTATTTTAGTAATTTGATTGGTTAATCAATTAATAAAATAACAATTTACATTCGC